CAAGGGCTCTTTCCACGCGCGAGGTCCCCTGGTCAACGCAGGCAGGCCCCGCCCGGGTTCCGAGACGCCCCGAGCGCCCCCAGTGAGTGAGGCCGCTAGAGGGCGTCCAGATCCGGCTGGAGCTCGGGGTGGGGGCCCCAGCGCCGCTCCGGGCCGAAGCGCACCGGTCCTCCAGCTCGAGCCTGGCTCTGGCCCGGGCGTCCCGGGAGAGCCGGACGGGGGCGCAGTGCAGGCGGGGCGCACTGCACCGGAGGCTCCGCGCTCCGTTTCCTAGGAGCCGGGAAATGGTCCAGGAGGAGGGGGGGGGGGGGGCGGGGGGGACGGACGGGGCGCAAGGGAAACAGGAGAAAGAGGAAGGGGAGGAGAAGGTAGGAGAGAAGGAGGAAGGGGCAGCCGACCCGGGGACCGAGGGGACTCCCGGAGCGCAGGCCTCGGTGCCGCGAGGAGTCTTGGCGGTAGACGTCTCCATCGCGCCGCGCGCGGAAAGGAAATGGCGCGTCTGGCCGCGGGCGCCCCCCGTGCTCCCCTCCCCGGCGGTGGCAGACCGCGCGTCCGCAGACGTCACGCGTGGCGCGGCGCCCCGGTAGAGGGGCAGTCGGGGCCGGGACCCAGGGAGGACGGCCGGGGAGGGGGAGGGGTGGCCCTGGCCCCCCGCTCCTCTCCTGCCCCGGCCGACTCGCAGCCTACTTTCTTCCCAAGTCCCGCCCCTACCCCCGGGCGCCGCGGCGGCGGCTGCTCTCCTCTTTGTAACCGAGGAGTCAAGAAATGTGAGAAACGTGCCCTGTGTTACTTATTTGGGAGCCGAAAATTTATGCCCAGCTGAAAGCGCCCGGGGAAATATTACATCAGATGAAATGACAATGATTAAAATCAGCTTCTCCCCCGCCCCCTCCCGAGCCCGGAGGAGGCCTGGGCGCCGCGTGGCTGGCCGGCGGGGGGCGGGGGGCTGGGCGGCGGAGGGCGCGGGGGCCTGGGCGCACCGCTCCCGGGAGGGTCCTGGCGGAGGACCCGGCGGGAAGGCGCGGGCTCCGGGGGAGGCGGGTGGTGCTCGCCCGGCTAAAGGAAGGGAAACGGCGCATTTTTGTCGCCGAGCGCGGCAGGCGCGGGCGCGCGGAGCTAATTGCGACTCTAATCCTCTGCCCCGCGGCACAGCCGAGCCCCGAGCCAGGAGTCGCCGCGCGCTCCCGCTCGCGCTCGCCGCGCTGGGTTAATTTTGAGCCGGAACGCTGCCCTTTGCGTCCGGGCTCAGCCGAGACGGGGCGCGGGCTACGGGCTAAAGTGAGGGGCTGGTTTTCTCGCCAGCAGTCGGAGAAGGCCGCTGGAGAAGAGAGGAGGGAGGAAACGAGGTGGGAGCGGCGGGAGGGCAGCCGGAGAGCGGCGCGAAGAGGAGGCGGCGGCGGCGGCCGCGAGAAGGGGAGGAGGCGAGGGGAGGGCGGGGAGGGGAGGCCCCGGCGCGCCGCGCCGCGAGGGGCCGCGCGAAGCGGGGGCCGGGGCGGGAGGGGTGGGTGGGGGGAGGGTTGGGGGCGAGAGAGAAAGTAACTCCAGGACGAGACCGGAGCGACCCGCGCAGCGAGCACAGGCTGCGAGGCTGAGCCCGGCTCCCAAGACCGGCGGCTGCGGGGGGCGGGGGCTGCGCCCGAGCCCGACCTGCCGCTCCGGCTCCGAGGTAAGCACCGCGCGGGCGGCCGCCGCTCAGCGACGCGCACCCCTGTCCCCGAAGTGGTTGCGATACCCGGAAAGTCGCCGGGCCGGGATTCGGACCTGGGCGGGGACGGCTGCTTTGTCCGGGTGCAGGGCGGCGGGGGCTGACGGCGAGGGGGCACCCAGCACAAAGGCCTGGCGCGGGAGGGGGGGGGATTGCCCACGTGGGCCGGCCCTCGCCCCGGGTGGACCCTCCCCTCGCGGGCGGTCAGCGAGCTTCCTGCCGCGCGGGGTGGGGTGGCGCGGGGTGGGAGTTTCCTCAGGTCCCGGCACTCGGGCCTCGGTGCAGGGCCGACCGCCCTGCAGGGCTGGCGAGTTTCCGGGGTCAGATCCCGGCTCACGCAGCCGGGGCTTCGGGCTGACTGGGCCCGACTTGGTGTCCATATCAGAGCGAGGAAAAGTCTCCAACGGGACGGACGTGCGTCCTCTGACGCCCACCCGCGAGTCCGAAACGGAGCGGGAGGGGCTGGCGCGCTGGTGGTCGTTCCAAGAGCGCGGGGGTCTGGAGCCCCCAGGCGGGCCGCGCGTAGACGCGATCGCCGTGTCGGGATTCCGGCTGCCAGGCGGTAGTCCCTGACCTGGACGCGGGCACCGCTCACACTCGCAAATGCCTACCCCCCTCCCTCGTAGCTGGAGCGCGTTTCCGTCCTCCTGTTGCCCCCCACCCCCGACTGCAAAAAGATAAGCTTCAAGTTTTCATTCCGTGTCTCAAATGTGCATGGAGGAATTCAACTGCACGAGTGAATAACAGCATTAGTTTCAATTAATTTTTTTTTAAACCCCGGCAACAATAAACTTTGAGAACAAAAGCGCTTTTACGTCCTTAATTAGGCGAGCTTCCCATCTGTGGTCTCTAAGTGTCTGCCTCTTGATTTAACTTCGTCTTCCGCCCCGCCCCTGCCGCACACCCTCCCGGTCCTGCCAGGCGGTTTGGGTTCCGCGGCCACCCCAGCCCCGCGGCGCCGCCGGCCTGGGCCCAGCCGGCTCCGGCTGCCCCGAAGTTCACACCGGCCGGCGGGCTCCGCGGCGGGGCAGGCGCACGCCAGGTGGCCCGCCTGCCTCCCTTCTGGCCCACCTCCTGGACAACTCGGCAGGCCCCCGGCTGTCTGGCCCCGGGGCTGCCGCCCTGGGCGCAGAGCTGAAGGGAGTTCTGCAGGCGCCTTCTGTTTACCTTTTATGGTTAAAATAACAGCTTAGCAAAGAAGCGACTTCACGAAGAAGCGATTTAGTGAAATCGTCTCAAGCTGCCGCAGCTCAGCCAGTTTAATCACCCCCAGAGAGCTGAACAACTGCGAGCACAATGGGGCACAAAATCATTTTGTGTGTAAATGAGCGTGGCATTCTGCTCGCTTCCCTCTGCTCTGGCGGGCGGGGCTTGGCAGCGGGCGGGCGTGGGACCGGGGCTCCCGCCTCAGCTCGGAGAAGCGGGTCCCTACCCCGCCAGTTTGGAAACCGGTCGGGCCGTGGAGCCCGGTACCGCCGAGGCCCCTGCAACAGGCGGTCTTGACCGACCTCGGGAGGGCCGTGGAGCGCTGGGGCTGGGTCGTGGGTTTGATGCGGGTGCTGGCGGAATGAACTTGTGTCTCTTCCTGCACCCACTTTGTGCTTCTGACCTCAGCAGTGGTGTCGGGGAAAGGGTCCTTGTCCAGCACAGATGTGTTTGTCGGAGGGAGCAGTGGAGGTTCGCGTCAAGGCGTACAGCCTGGGGCTTCCAATGGTGAGTGTCTGGTTTGCCGTGAACATCAGGTTGTGCTTGCGATGGAGAAGAGGCCGGGTGAGAACAGGATGGAGCAGCTTTTTGATGGGTACTTGGTGTTAAATGTCACTTCGGAGCAGTGTCCTGGTAGTAGGGCAAACGTTGTGCTGGCCGCTTTGATAGCATTTCCATTGGAATTCCTTCCAGCACAGTTTATCCTCCGTGAGGGTTTCCTTCTGACTCCTCCCCCCAGCAGAGCCTCCCAGGGCAGGAGAACCCATTCCTGAGATGTGTTTTGGTTTCTCAGAACTTGAGATAAGTGACCTGGTTTTCTTTTTTGAAACTTGAGGGAACTCAGGAATGCCAAAAGCAGCCGACCCTGGACGGCTGTAAATTAAACATCAATGTCTGCTAATGGCAACCCCCACCCCCGTTTCCTGTCAGAGAACTTGCCGGGACAGGAGGGCAGAACAAATCCTAGGAGAGTGACCTGACTGAAATTTGCAGGCTTTGATTCTCATTCGACCTTGTATGAAAACTGGATGTTGAATTTCAAGGCACAAAGTCAATCCTTGAGGGAGGATGGGGTTAAACCTGCAAGAAATAAGTACAGCTTTAGGTGTGGGGAAGCCAGTGGGGGAGGGAGGGGATGATATTCCCTGTGTCCACCTTCCCCAGGCCCAGGTCAGTGGAAGGTCTGCTTAAAACCTCTCTTCTGCAGCCCTCCTGCGTAGGGTCTGCAGAGTGTCTTCAGGTAGCTTCTGGAGACTGTGGGACAATCTCATTTCAGGTGGCCGGGGCACAGACTGAGTGACTATGGGGAGAGGCAGGAGGGTTCATTAGCTGAGCTGCTGTCTCCTTCTGGCCATCTCTGTAATGCCTTGGGGCTTGATCCCGAGGGGATCTGGAATATATTAGGCACAGACAAGACCTTTCTGGGGGCCTGGGGAGAAGCTGCAGAGGTGCAGGCTGGGCAAACAAAGACAAGTTTTCCTAAGGAGCCACAGGGGAGCGGTGGCTTCCTCTGTGACTTTTGCTCTTCCCTGGCTTCGGCTGGAAGAGGCTTCTCTGGGTCCAGCCAGTCTCAGACTGCATCTTAACACTGCAGAGACTGTATTTAAAGAGGTGGTGGGGCTCCCCAGCCTCTGGAGGGTGGGGGATCCTCTCTGAACTGTGGCTCCAAGGGTGCTCTCTGAAGCAAGAGGAGACACGCTTGGTAACGTGGCTCGAAACCAAAATACCAAGCAAATCGGATTTGTTATGAAACATTTTGGGGGCAATAATGGTGAGCATATGTTTCAGTACTGTCATTAGCTGAATTAGCAGACATGGAGCTGCCCTGAGAACACGTGTGTGAGTGAATGTGTGTGTGTGCATGTGTGTATAAGTAATCTCCTATGGCCCAGAGGCTTGCCTTGGGGTGTGGGGACAGGCTAGTTGCCGTCTGTGTGGTAGGGCATGGGGTCTTTGGAAGCATGTTCAGAGAGGATGATCATAAGCATCTTTGACTGGGAGACGCGGCACCCAGAACCACTGAGGAGTAAGTCGTGTTTGGTCGTGTCGGTGCTCCCCACAGATGTTCTGGGCAGCGATGGAAGCCTAGATGCCTCACCGCAAGGAGCGGCCGAGCGGGTCCTCGCTTCACGCCCACGGCAGCACCGGCACGGCGGTGAGAGCTGGCAGGGTGGGCTGGGTCAGGGGCTTGTCGCCCCCTTTATGCCCTCTTCCTGAGCACCTGCTCACTGGCTGCCCTTCCTCGCAGCCACAGCCGTGGTGCTCAAGAGATGGCTGTTGACTGCCTGTACGATTATGTATTTTCTCGAAACAAAAATGCTCTTAATTTGATGTGAAATTTACTACATGTATAAAACTCAACGCCTTAGGTGCTGAGGAAGTCACTAATTTAGAGGTGTCTCGTTACTGAGACAAACTTGCAAAAACCCCTGAATCCCAATTCACAAATTGGTGATTCGTTTGTCAGGGGATATTTCACATCTAACACATAAGCCTGCGACCTTTAATTAGAATTTTGCAGTTTGTTTTATGCCCCTGGAGGCTGACACCTTGAAAAAAAATTTTTTTTCTTGATTTCTTATTGCTAATAAGCATCTTTCTTTTTTTTCCCCCTCTGGTACTTTGAAGAAAATGATGCAAATACACTTAATTACAGTGGTGGCCATAATTTGTCTGGCGAATATGTGATCAGGCACAAGCAGAAGTGATCTGATTAGATCTGTGATCACATTGGCAATCAAGGGAGTGCCTAGCTCTGTCGTGGAGAAACCCTTGTCGTGTGCCTTTTTTCCATCTCCAGGAGGGAGGAAGCATGTCTCGGTTGTCTCTTACCCGGTCGCCTGTGTCTCCCCTGGCCGCCCAGGGGATCCCGCTGCCAGCCCAGCTCACGAAGTCCAATGCGCCTGTGCACATCGACGTGGGCGGCCACATGTACACCAGCAGCCTGGCCACACTCACCAAGTACCCAGACTCCAGGTAAGAGCCGAGCCCCTCACAGCACCGGGGCGTGCGGTGGCCGTAGGCAGCATGTGAAGCCTGCTGCCAGCCGACACGCAGGGCTCCCCAGGGTCCCCCTGCCCTCAGACCCGCCTGCCCACGGCTGCTCAGCAGGGACTTGTGACCCTGAGCTGGTGGCACTGGTGGAGCTCCTGACCCACTGGCAGAGGCCACTTTTCAGAGCCAGCCCCACCCGAAGCTGGCCAGCAGCTGGCTGGAGAACCTTATGTTCCTTCAGGTTCCTCTTGTGTGCGACTCACGCCTGGCCTTTGCAGGAGACTGGTTGTGAGCCATGCTGCATACTTCTTGGAGTCATTTGGGGGAGAAAGAGTTCATCCTCTTTCCAAGTCTTAATGACTGGGATAGTGCATAAATGCACGGATAGGGGCGGGGGGCGGCTGCGATTTGTCATCTTTGTTTGAGTGGCCACTGCTGGACCCTTAGGGCTAGCAGCAGGCTCCTTTGGAGTTGGGAGGGGGTGGGTGGCAGTGACTGGCTAAGAATTCCAGGGTGTCGGGGGATATCCACAGCTATGGACAAACATGAGCCACATACCGCCATCAGCAGATGAATCTCTGACCAGGGAGCTTTACCCTCTGCCCAGTCAGGTGCCCCTGACTCCTGACTCGGGCACTGCTCTTGCCTGTTGGGCATTTCTCTCCTAGGTTTCCCCATTGGCATGTAACAGCAGGGCTGACCAGAGGTGGGATGGGTCTCTGAGCAGCTCCGGGAGATGATGCTGTGTGCTGCTGGCTGAGCCCGGGACCGCCTGCTCCGGGTACCGCAAGGTGGTACTGCCAAGGGATGGCAGCAGGAGGGCCACGCCTGTGGGCATCACCTCTGTTTTAGACATTTAAAATAAAAAGAGGAGTTAATTAATCCCCCAGACGCCGAGGGATGTCTCTGGGAAGCTTTCTGATCTAGCCGCCTTGTCGCTGGTGTGGTTGCTTATGGAGGAAGGATTCACAGCGTGTGGAGGTGGCTGCATAGAGCACACTGGAGGCCAGGGGGGCGCCCTGGAGGCGGGACGGCTGGAGGCCGATGCAGCGTCTGGTTCAGAATTTGGGGTGTGGGGTGCAGGTGTGGTTGGAGCTCTCTCCCTCCACAGACAGAGGCTAGGCCTGGGGCACTGTGAACCTGGGGACCATGGGGGGCAGCAGCCAGGAGGCCACGTCTGCTGTGTTGGCCTGGCGCTCACCGGCAGGGCCCTGTCTAGGATGGGAGATGGATTCTGCTTATTTCATTTCAATTTTGCCTTCTGCGGCATCCACGCGTTGAGATAGATCATCCCTTAATCAGCTGACGACATTTGCAAGTGACATGCATAAAACCCTTGCCCACCACCTCTCTGAAGAGTGTTTCTTGAAATCAGACACTTGCCTTTCTGGAGTAATCACGGCCCAGGCCTGGGAGGACCAGCCTCCTCTTTCTGCCTCCTGGCAGCTGCCTAGAGCTTGGCAGGCGGGGGTGGTCCTCCCCTCCCAGCCCTCCTCCTCCCCCTCTTCCCCCACCCCCCGCCTCCCGCATCCTGCTTTGGGGCAGGGCCCCTGGCCAGGCTGCCTCAGTGGCCCTATGACCTGTAGGACCCTCGGGCCATCAGGATGGGCCCAGAGGGGGTGGTGGTCTGCATTCTTCCCCCAGGGCTGGACCTCAGGATAAATATGCTGCTCTGCCTGGATGGCTCTGCCTGGCCAGGCTCGCAGGAGAGCTGCTCCTGAGACGGAAGCTCTGGCCTAGAGGCCATGGAGGTGGTATGACTTGTAGGAGAGTCAGGACAGTGGGTCAAGCCAGGCCTGACATGTGCATTGGGCAGCTGTGCTGGCCGGAGCCCTTCAGATCTCTCTCTTCCTTCTTTGAGTGAATATTAAAATTTAAACAAAACAAAACAGTTTTTCACTAATTCTGGAAATAATGATCAATGGCTCACCCAGGGTCACTGAGGTATAAGTCACCTGGAAATAGAGGATTATGTTAAGGTCACCAGGGGAGGGGGCTCGTTCTGGACATCAAGTCTCACCCTGGGCAATGCTGTGAGATAAGGGGGCTTGTGCCTTCACCCCTTCGGACCCTGTGCCCACAGAGCTAGGCCTGGGTTCTCGTTCTTGGTTGGTCAGGGCAGCTGCATAGCAGGGAGCCCCCAAGGGTGCTGGTCAGCCCAGGATGGCCGTTGCCCAGAACCCGCCCAGCCCAGCTGCTTGGGACTGGGAGTGGACTCCTGAGTCTGCCTCCATGCTTGCTGGACATCACTTAGCTCCTGCATCACAGCCCCATGCTGGTATCCATCCTGGCAGTGGGAGGCCACCAATGAAGATATCCAGGAACCTAGGAAGTAATAAAACCCCCGAAACATCCAGGAAATAGAGCCAAAATGTAAAAAAAAACAAAAGAAGAATAAGAAGGTGACCCCTATCAGCTGGGGTCAGAACTGGCCAGCTTATTCCTTATACACCTTCTGAAGTCAGTATCCCAAACTTACAGCCTCCCTAGGAGGGTGGCCCGGGGTAGGAACAGACTCTTTAAGACCTCACAAGTGTCAGTGGGTGCCTTTGAGGTGACTGCCCTAACCTTCCCTCAAGCTGCACGCCTCTTTCATAGCTTCAGACCCTGAGGGTGTGAGAGGCCTTAGGCTGGGAAGAGACGCTGAACCATGGAAAGAGCTGGAACCAGCCAGTCCCAAGATAAGACAGACTGAGAGCCTTCTAGCCTCGCACCCTTAAGATGACCTAGAACCCAGGCAGCCCTGGAATGTGGTGGACTGGGAGTCCCCTAGATCACCAGGATGGTCTGAGGGGTTTGCAATACTGAGGGCCTGGAAATGTTGCTTGCTTCACAGAATGCTTGAGCTCAACCAGGAAGGCTGGAGAAAGTTCCATGGGGAGGCTGACCTGCAGGCGTGGCTCTTTCGTCTTCCTGCCGCTGCCACGTGGGGGCCCTCTGCAGTCTACTGATGACTGCCCATGGCGCCTGACAGCCTCACTCCGTCCCATCTGTCTCCAGGCATGCTGGGTGGCCTTCATTCTGATATCTGGCTGCCCATGCTCTGCTGAGGTTAGGTCTGGGGGTGTTTAATGCTTAGAATAGGCAGGGAGCCCACAGAGTTTGCCGGCAGGGCAGTGTTCCCCAGTGTCGTTGTCACCAGGCCTGGGCAGGTCAAGAGGGCTCCATGGCTTTCGGAAGTCTGAGATGAGTTGTATCTGGGTGACCACAGCACTGGTTTCACAGACTCAGGCTGCTCCACACCTCCCCATGGGTTCTGACCCGCTCACACTCATCCATGAGGCAGCCTTGACTTACATACGGCCCTACTGGGCCATGTCCCCAGAGTGAAAAGGGGTTAGTCACTCCCCCTCCTGGCCAATGGATGTGCCAGGCCAGCAGAGCAGACGGTGGTGGTGGGAGGCCCCTAGAGAGGCTGTGAGTGCTGTGACCCCGCAGCTTCCACCCAGCTCGTTGCCCTGGCGCACAGTGGCGGCGGTGGGACAGAGCCTGGGAGCAGTGACTTGGAGTGGAGGGTGGGATGGGCTGCCGAGGGAGACGGGAGCCTTGCTGGAGGTCCTTGCTGCTGCAGGTAGAGAGGGAGGGGGCTGAGCCTCGACTTGTACAGACTAAGCTGGAAGGCCTGGGGCTGGGATCCAGCCACCCTTCTCCCAGGCTGTGCTGAGTCCAGCTGGGGACGTGTGTGCGGCCTGCCTGCCGAGGTCGTGTCCCTGGGGAGACCCTGCCGACCTCCCTCCTATTCCCAAGTCAAGCTCTTAACCCCTCTTCAGGGGATCCTAACCCTCCCCACTGGGGCCTGGGGTCTGCAGGGGATGTGAGCCAAACCAGAGCCTGCCGCCCTGGGCAGTGGGGAGGCCTGGTTCCTCCTCTCGGAAGTGGAGGGGGCCAGGCATGGGACTCCCCATGTGTCCTTCAGGTCCTATGCTTCTATCAGAACCACCTCCCTTCAGAGGATGGGGTGCTGGGAGCTGCCTCCCTCCCAGTCCCCCCCTCACTAGTGTGCACACGCTGTAGCAGGTGTGCACACTTCTGTGCATGTGGGTGTTCTGTGTGCATCCACACTGGACGGTGGGTGTCTGTGCCCTGTGACCGCACCCACATGTGCTGTCCCTGTGGTCTGCCTCTGTTATCCCCTAGGGTTCCCTGAGCCGAAGCCTTGGGTGGTTCATTTGTAAGTTTGTTGAGCGTCTGTAGCTGTCCCTCTGGTGGACCTGTGTTGTTGATATCTCCCTCCCCAGGATGTGTCTTGTTCTGCTTATGGTCCGTGTGCTTCGAGGGAGGAGACCGTGTGACCCTGTGTCTGTTGCTGGGTGTGTGGTGTCCAATGCTTGTTCATGCAGGTTGGGTGAGGCGTGTGACCCAGGAGTGTCTTGGCTGGTTTACACGTGTTCACCAGGTGTGTGACTGCGGGCTGGGGTATCTGATGGTTGGTGGGGGTTTTCTGGGCGGGTCTGTCTGGCAAGGGTTCGTGTGCATGCGACGAAGTGTCTGTGTCTCCTTGTAGTTTTCCAGGCCTGTCACCTGTGTCAGTGGGCAGGGGTGTGGAGCTGGGTGTGACTCTCTCTGGCCATGGCTTGTGAGTGTAGGTGGGGCATTTGCGTGCGCTGGATGCCACGCTGGTGTCCTGGCTGCCGCTGGTGTGTGCACACGTCCTTTTCAGGCCTGGTGTAGTCCCAGAATCACTCACGTAGTGACGCTCACCCATCCAGCAGGGTGGCCTCTAAGGGGGGAGGGGGGGCAGGGCAGCAGACCAGCCCTTCCATCCCGCATCCCACTTTCCATCTCTCCCAGAATAAGCCGCCTCTTCAATGGCACGGAGCCCATTGTCCTGGACAGTTTGAAGCAACACTATTTCATCGACCGGGATGGGGAGATTTTCCGCTACGTCCTGAGCTTCCTGCGGACGTCCAAACTGCTGCTTCCTGATGACTTCAAGGTAAGTCCGCAGCCGGCGGCTCCCCGCCACAGCCTGTGCGGTGGCATTACACAGGGGACGCTGTGACTTAAGAAGCGGACCCGCGGTTGTCATGGCAACCATAAAAACTTAAACGACGAAGCCGGGGGCTAAATCAGTTTTTCTAAACTAATTTTGTTTTCTCACATTTTTAGCTTATTTATCAGGGTATAACAACAATTAAGCAGCGACAGCAAGCGCTTACCCCAGTTGTATGCTGAAGGACCGGCATGTGCTGGAGTTAACAGGAGTTAGAGGTTCCCAGAGCTGGTCCTTATTGGCACTTGGCAGAGGGAACACCCTGATCCAAACCAAGCAGAACTTTAAACAAAAGTCCCCCCCACCTTGCCCGTCCTGGACTGAGCCTGTCTTCAGTAGCCGACCTGGTTCTGAGAGTCCTGCCTCCAGGGTTGGGCTCCTCAGTGGCTCAGGTATCCCAGAGGCAGGAAAAATCCAGGCTGGGGCTACCCCAGCTCCAACCAGCAAATGTCCCTCCTTCCTTCCGGCACCCAGAGGACCCAATGGTCCTAGGGCTGTTTTATCCTTCATTTAATTCAGTTTCTCGGTGCCAGCAACTGAACTCAGGCTAAAAATGCAGTGGGACAAGGCAGACATAGGTCCTGTCCTCACAGTGGTTATAGTTTATGGGATGATAGATGTTGAACAGAAAACCACTTAAATTCCACAGGGGCAGGGAAGCAGGAAGTACTGTGAGAGGGAACCACGGGGAATCTGGCCTGGGTGGGTTTGGAGGGAAGGGTGTTTCTCTGGGTGATGATGGAGGAACCGAAGCAGAAGGGTGTGAGGGCCTTGGGGGTGAGGAGGGGCGAGGGTAAGGAGCTAGATAGTGGCAGCCTGGGGCTGTATGAACCGGGAGGGGAAGAGCAGGAAGAGGGTGCAGATTGTGTCCGGTCCTCGCACTCTCTGCCTTTTACCCTGAATGCAGAGGGAGGGTGTGTAGGGGCAGGACCCTCAGATCTGTTGTGTGAAGGATGTGGAAGGAGCAGGAAGGTGGAGGCAGCGAAGGTGGAACAAAGTGGTAGATTAGATTCACGTTTGGGAAAAAGAAGAAAAAGCCACGGTGTGGGCGGTGGGGGTCAGGGGGCTCTTGAGGGTTCCCCTGACCTGCAGCTTGAGTCCTGAGTGGATGTGTGGAGGCCCAGGGTAGAACAGGCTGAAGCACCCCACACCTGTGTAGAAGAACTGGTGGGGCGTCTGGGGGAGGTATTCTGGGATTTGAGGAAGGATGTGGGGGTTGCTGGTTTGCAGGTATCATTTAAAACCTCTAGTGGATGAGAACAGGGGCCCGGCATGAAGCTGTGATGAACTCTTGTGGTTCTCAACAGGATAGGTTCTTGACTGATGGAAGGCCTGGGGTGACTCCAAAGGCTAGGGTCAGTCAGCAGGCGGACGGACTTAGGGCCAGCGGTGTGCGCTCAGCTTTTGGGATTGGGCTTCCTTGCCTGCCCCCAGGAGTCTTCAGGCTCACCAGCGTGACTTGAGCTGAGTGGTCTGGTCATGGGTCTTCAGCTACTCAGGGCTGGGGTGGGTGTGGGTGGACATGTGTTTGATGGGGGCAGGGGACCAATGTCAGGGCCTTGAGGGGAGGTCGGTGTGAGCCTGCCAGCCTGGGTTTGAGCTGCTCGTGAGAGGTGGGCACCCCCCAGACACCTCCTCACACTGCTGGCGAAGGCAGGGACCAACCTTGATGTCCTTTAAGCTTCACCCACTCTTTGAGCTGCGTAATAACATCCATTTTATAGACGAAGAAACTGAGGCTCAGAAAAGGTCTTGTAGATGATGCTGCTGCTGAAAATCCAACCCAGGCAGGTCCATGTCACCTCCCTGCAGGAGACTGAGCATCTCCAGGGAGGGAGGACAGGGCTGCCCTTTGTCCACCCCAGCCTGTCCTCTCAGAGAAGGCAGCAGGTCCCCAACCATCCGCACAGCCTCAGGCTCCTCTAGTGTAGCCTCCAGGTTTTTCTAGAAACTTCTCTCTGCTTCCCATGAAGCAGCTCCCGTGGCTTGGGGCCGGATGGAAGGGCTTACTGGGATCTGGGTCAGGTGCATACCAGCCACTGCCCTTGGACAGAGGCCAGACGTTTTGAGGGGAACCCTGTCACCGAAGCCTCGCTTTCCCCATCTGTACAATGGGGACAGCCATCCCAGACCACATTGTGCTGGGAGTGGGGGTGGGGGCACAATCCCCCTGGACTTTGAGCGGGTGGGGGCGCGGAGCTCTGGAGCAAGAAGGGCGGACCCCCACCCACCCCACCATACGCGCATGCCTGCAGGACTTCAGCCTGCTGTACGAGGAGGCGCGCTACTACCAGCTGCAGCCCATGGTGCGCGAGCTGGAGCGCTGGCAGCAGGAGCAGGAGCAGCGGCGCCGCAGCCGGGCCTGCGACTGCCTGGTGGTGCGCGTCACGCCGGACCTGGGCGAGCGGATCGCGCTCAGCGGCGAGAAGGCCCTCATCGAGGAGGTCTTCCCCGAGACCGGGGACGTCATGTGCAACTCGGTCAACGCTGGTTGGAACCAGGACCCCACGCACGTCATCCGCTTCCCGCTCAACGGCTACTGCCGGCTCAACTCGGTGCAGGTGAGGGCCGGCCCGCCCCTGCCTCTTCCCCGCCTGCCTCCCCGAAGCCCTGGGGCGGGCGGCAGAGGGAGATTGGGGTGGGCGGGGGGGAAGGCCGGGTCCCTGGGATGGCGCGGCCCTCCCGTGCCATCTTACAGAAAAGGCAACAATGTGTCGATGCATAATTTATGTCCCGCTCATAATTAAATGATGGCGCCTGGGGGATGGACTTAAAAAAATTGATCTGTGCTTTTTTTTTTTCCAAAAGGATGTTCTATAAAAATGGCCTAGAGTATTTTCAACAAAGTGTGCTTCATTTGACACCCAGAGTCTGACTTTGGATTCAAATTAAACCCAGGCAGTAGGAGCAGCAGGTCAGAGGCTGAGAGTGGGGGCGGTTTGGAGCCCCACCCCTTCCTCATCAGGCTGACCTAGGGCCACCAGCACCCATGGCACAGCTTCCCAGAGCGTGTCTAGACTGGTTTTCCCCACATGGGTCTAAGAGACTGGAAGCCCCAGATGGAGTTGGGGCCTATTTTCCACCTGTTCTTCCAGACCCAAGAGCAGACTCCTGCTTCAGGCTTGGTTGGGGCAGAGCGCACTTGATAGGGAAAACTGTAGGCTGTCCTTCAGAACTTGCTAGTTAGCTGCAGGACACAGGTGTCAGACACAGTGACTGGGCCTCCCTCTCACAGAGGCATAGACCCACGTGGACACAGAGACCTGCAGAGATGGGAGAGAACTCCTCTCCATCGTGAGCTCCCTTGAGCTGATCAGGCCCCAGGCCTCAAACCATCTGGGATTCCCAGCTCAGGGAAGCAGGTGGCTGCCCCGAGGCCAGGGGCGGGGTCTCTGTTGCTGGGGCCTCAGTGAGGGAGGGGGACCCAGGACCTTGTGTCTGGGAGAGAGGGGCCCAGTCAAGGTTGTGGACCCCTGAGGGTAGCGGGGTGGCACCCATCCAGGTTTTGTCTCTTAAGGGGCCCTGGCCCTTCTGTGGCTGCCCCTATGGTGGTTGTGCCCAGACCCCTGTCAGCGAGATCTTAACAGGAGAAGGTAACTCACCCTGGCAAGTGCCCACCTGCCCAGCAGACTCTCGCGACTGGGCTTTGCTGACCCCTGTTTCTTCCCCGGCAGGTCCTGGAGAGGCTCTTCCAGAGGGGTTTCAGCGTGGCCGCGTCCTGCGGGGGGGGCGTGGACTCCTCCCAGTTCAGCGAGTATGTGCTTTGCCGTGAGGAGCGGCGACCACAGCCCACCCCCACTGCTGTCCGAATAAAGCAGGAGCCCCTGGACTAGGCCCTGCCTCAGTGTCTACCTGAGGCCCCTTGGCCCTAGGGACACCCCCAGGGACCTGGGAACAACACTGGGGAGTTCTGCCTAAGCCTGCTTAGCAGTGGGCATGAGACTGAGGGTGGGGCCGGAGGGTCCAGAGCCCGCCTGGGGAGCCCCAAGGCCAGGGGCGTCATGACAACAGAACGTGGGATGCTGGAGGCATGCCCACCAGAGGACCGTGGATGTGACCCAAAGATGCTGAGGTGGGAACTCCGCCGCCAGTCATCTGCGCCCCTCGGCTCCCAGCCTGGTACAGCACCCTGGAGGCTCTGCACGTGCCGAGGCGGGGTCAGCAGAGGCCGCCCCGGTCCACTCCAGAGGAGCGGTCTGTCTTTCTCCACGTGGCAGACTCCAGTGGGTCTCCTTGTGTCAGAGATGGCTTATTTTTCTACAGTATTTAAGACGGAAGTAACTGTCAGTGCACAAGTCAGAGAGGCCTACAAGGACCCTTGCTTCTTCATCTGGTGCTCAGATCAGTGGGACGCGGCAGCACGTCTGCGTGGGGGGCGGTGGCAGAGCTGCCGGACCCTCTGCCAGGGTTCCTGCAGAACGGGGCTTGGAGACCCCTGGTCCCTGCTCTAGGGACGGAGGGCAGCCAAGGCAGTGCTATCCGGGCTGAAACACGGCCCCCACGGGGTGGGCCCACTGGGAGGAGGGTGGTACGGGCATGGGGGAGGGACCACTTTGGGACCTTTCGAGACCCTGTCTTTGCTGCCACTTGGGGCACAGGCCACACTTGAGTGTCACTTGACCTACTCATGCCCGGGGGCTTTGGTTTCCATCTGTGTGTGCCTACACGGGCTCCGAGAGAAGTCACTCCCCGTCAGGATCAGCACCGGGGCCACACTGCATCCTTACCTCAGGAATGGGCCCCACGGTGAAGCAGCCCATCTGTCAGCAGCATCCTCTGGGTCCCCAGCTCAGGAAGCCGTCCCCCACTATGATTTTCCCACACTCACCTGCATACTGAATTTTTAATTAAACTGTGGTTACACTAGTCTGCCAGTAAGGCCCAGACACAATCAGACGTTGGGTTCTTGGCCCCAGATTCCAATGAGGACTGCCCGCTAGAGTCCTCGCAGACCTGCTGCCTCCCAGACGACAGGCCCAAAGATGGATACCCCCTGTCTTGTCACACTTCCCCTCCCCTCCCCTCCCCAAGATGACTCTTCCCCAGGGGGTGGAGAGACTGCAGAGAACTGCTGGGCGGGTGGGGCGTCCCGGCCGGCCCCGCCCCTTGTACGATGCCCGTAGACTTGTATATGACTCCTTTAATATTGTAAAGATGCTAATGTACAATTGTTGTGTGTTTGTGTAAACACATTATGTTTCTAGTTCATGCCATAAATGATGCTATAAAGCGAAAGACTGAGGCTCCGTCCTGTGCCGAAGAGGGCAGCCAGATTCCAGCATTCCGTCCCCAGCAGGGAGGTTTGGGGATGAGATTCCTTGGGTTCCAGGGAGGAAAAACCAGCGTTGGTAGTTGGGGGAGGGGCAGGGACAAGGGTCCCGAGCTGGCATAATTGATTGCTTTGGGGTGTTTTCTCACGGCTGTACCTGTCCCCTCTGGGCAGCACAGTTTCTGAATTCTGATTCACAGCCCCTAACCAGGTACAAGCTGGGGGAAGGCAGACCAAAGGCGTCCGGGGGAGCTTTTGAGCCCGGTTTTCAGTTTGTGATTTTTCCCTCTGGTTTTTTTGGTTGAGGGTTGACGTCCTCTTTAGAGCACCACAGAGCGGTAGGAGAAGATGGCAGTCCCTGGCCCAGGTCAGCCTGGGGACATGCAGGGGGGACTGCAGGTCCCCCTAGATCGGGGTTGCGGGGGAGGGGCAGGGAGGAGTTGGAATGTCTTCACAAGACGTCCACTTTTAATGAGCCTGTTTGTATTTTCCCTCCAAGTCCTGCTGTTCTGAGCATGGAGGGCCTTTTCCCCTGCAGGTAGGGGCCACCAACCTCGCCCTGCCTGGAGGGCATGCACAGCCGCTGCTCCGAGGCCACAAAGCTGCTGCTATCCCACCATACAGTGAATTTGCTGGACAGACTTGCCAGCCTTTGCTCAGCAACATGCCTACAGTTGGCACATGGGCATTTTGGCTTCTGAGGTTCACATCTGAGAGGAGGAGAAAGTGTTGTGTTTATTAAAAAGGAAGTCTGGTGAAAACAGCTCAGTGGCGCGTGCGTTTATGGATTTTTCTGGTATGATAGCCAGCATAGTTGCCCATTGATGGAGATCCCCTAACATTTTTGAGCAAACAATCTTTGATTAAACCATTGTGCTAAAAGAAAAAAAAAAACATAAAAAAGTAACTACCTTACTGGATATTACTCTTAATTATTTCCTTACTAATTAACTCAAACCAGGAAGTTTGATTTTATATAATCTAGGGAATTTCTAAATTTGTAGAGAAATACTGTGTTCTCAAAGTAATGCTAAAATTCTAAGATGGTCCCCATGAACAATAAGTAAAAACATTTGTATACTTCCTGGAATGAATACACTATATTGTAAGTAGTCTCTTGATTACAGGCCAGCAGTATAAATGTTACTTCTGCTCTTCATAAATTATTCTTGATTATAAGCAACTGGACAGCTGACTGTGCCAACACTTCCCTGTTTCCCACCAGACCTCTCTGCTTGTACAGGAGAGAATTTGTCAAAGCCACAGCAGGAGATGTTGGCCACTGTCCTGATCAATAGGGCTCAAAACCAGGTCACAACACTATTAAGTTTTTTTTTTTCCAAAGCTCCCACTTGACTGTGTTCCACAGAATAAATAAAGGATATTTTATAAATTATACACCCAGCTCTAGCGCTTTGTTTCTGATCCACCGAGGCAGCCACAAAAAGGTACTCTGGCATGGATTACTCTGGAGCCACTACCCCCACACTTGGGACTTGGCTTGACCACTGAATAAGGACCTTGAGTAGCCCTGATCCCACATACTGAGCCTTCCTGGTCTAGGTAAAGAGTTGCTGTGGAGGGTTGGGCCCTTTTACACTGTATTCATTTTGCTCATGAGTATATATGTCAACCAGGGGTTTCCCAGGTAGCCAGTGGTAAAGAATCCACCTGCCAATGCAGGAGACACAGGTTCGATGGGAAGATCCCCTGGGGGCAGGAAATGGCAACCCGCCCCAGTGTTCTTGCCTGGAAAATCCCATAGACAGAGGAGTTTGACGGGCAATAGTCCATAGGGTTGCAGAGAGTCGGACACAACTGAAGTGACTTAGCAAGCATGTGTAAACCAGGGGCTTCCCAGGTGGCTCAGTGGTAAAGAATCCGCTTGCCAATGGAGGAGACTCAGATTAGATCACTGGGTTAGGAAGATCCCTTGGAGGAGGAAAGGACAACCCACTCCAGTACTCTTGCCTGGAAAATCCCATGGACAGAGGAGCCTTGCGGGCTGCAGTCCATGGGGTTGCAAAGAGTCGGATACAGCAAGCAGGCATGCACTCACATATATAAACCAAATCAAACCAAACCAGCTGACAAACGGGGAGAGAAGCAAGGATGTGAGAAACGGCTCCTGACCAAGGGAAGACCAATTTAGCTGAGCCTAAATTAGAGCGCAGGATTGGGGGCCATCCTGCTCCCCATCCAGGAGGCAGTCCTGTGATCTCTGGAGAACGCTGTCTGTTAAGATGGCCCCATCCCACTGGGCCCTACCTACCCTCCTGACTCCCCAGACACAAGAGGTCAGCTGCAGTGGCCCTGGAAGGCACTGTAGGACCCATAAGATCGGAGTTTCCCCTAAGGGGATAACAAGGTGGGACATACAGATGCAGGCGCTGCCAGAGAATCTTCAGTTTGAGGCAGAGCACTTGGCTTAAGCCACTGGGCAGTTCTAGACCAAGCTCGAGGGCCAGCTGTTGGTCAGAGAGTACAGGTGCTGGGCTTGAGCCTGACATCTGGGTTGACAAGGGATGTTGTAAGAACTGTGATGTCACAGATTGATGGTCATCAAACTGTAGTTTGACTTCGGTTGACTTCAAGGTGGGTGGGCAGATGTTTTCAGCCACAAACTTAAGACAGGCACATAATGCTGGTCTTGTCTCAGATGTGATAAGGACCTGGCTGGCCCCCTTTCTGTTCACCCTCTCTCCACCCAAAGTGGGCGACTCCTTATAGAGAGAAACCTTGCCCCGCCTGGAGACAAAGCCTCACGGGGTAACCCTTTGTGGACCGAGGTGAAGAAAAAGGAACGGGTGGCAGCTAGGGGCAGCTTCCTGCCAGGGGTCAGGCTAGCAATAAATTCTCTCAGGAGCCGCAGATTGACCCAGATGGAACCCAACCCCAGTGAGGTTTGAGGGTCAGAATAGGATCTCACAGCCCCTGCCCCCGTCCCTGCCACACGTCCTCCTTAAGTCCAGGGGCACCGCTCTGAGAGCTTTTAATGCAAGGAGAGCCCAGCCCCTGGGAAAACCCCCCAACCGTACCCCCTGCTCCCTGGCTGAACTTGTTTGGGAACGCCAGATAACAGCTCTCTGCTCCCAAGCCCCAGAGCTGGAAAAACAAGGCACCTGAGTGATCCGCAGGGAGCTCTTCAAACCTCAGAGTCTCAGGGAGAGTGGGAGCCACTTCTGGGATATGTATCCAGGCACTGCTACCTGTAAGTAGTTGTTTATTCACAGGGAAGAAGCCCTCTATGTTTCCAATCTCTCCCTCCCACCCCCAGTGGAAGGTTGTCCTGGGACAGTATTTGTTCTATTTTGGGATCATGTGACTTTGACTTGAACAGTGGACTAAGGTGGCTGCAGCAGCTTTGGACCTCAGTCAGCAAATGGGTCCTCACTGCAAAGATCTTTATCTTCCTGGTCACCCGATGAGTGCCACTGACTGAAGGTCAGCATGTACCAGTCACTGCAGGTGCTTGGAGGACAAGACAGCCCACAAGGCTAAGAGAAGACGTCTATTTATCCACAAGAATTGTTAGAGGCTCTGTAAGCTTATCTGGAAGAGAAC